GTTATGGTGTGAATTCAAATGTAACAAATTTTATTTTTCTAGGATAAATGCCCTGTTTTAAATTTAAGAAAAAAAATATTAATTTTACATCAAATTATTATTATTATTATTCACAAACAAAACCTCTCCTTATACGATTTCTAAATGCTCCCAAAATAAGTAACATATTAAAAAAATATAATTATTTATTTCATCCCAAAACAAATAATATATGAATAAAAATAAAATCTTAAAGAATATTCTTGAAGCTCCTCACACTTTCTATAAATTTTTTAGTTTTGACAAAGTTTTCTTCTCTTTTACAAGAGAGATTTCTTTAATATAAGAACTCTTTGTGTAGTATAAATCAGCTAATTTTCTTTATCTTTTTTTGTTGAATTTATAGAGACCTAATGGAGTTATCATAATGATAGGAGAAATTGATTTTCGAAACATGATTTTGGAGATTCTGGAATAAAATAATACAAAAAGGAAAGGAGAATTGAATTAATTACCAAAAAGGATATAATTAGTAAGACATATTTTATTTTACCTAGGATAGTCATTCTAACAATAATATAATAAGGAAATAAGGAGAAAAATCAAAAGGAGAGAAAAATGTTATTAGGTTTTATAGTATTTTTTTTACAAATATTCAAATTTTATTTTAAAATTGGAGTTATATTTGCATAATTTAATTAAGATAAATTAGATATAAATCCTTTTGAAACTGAAAAAAATATTTGGATGAATTAAAATTTTAGAATAGTGTAACTAGGGTTACTTGAGCCACAACAAATAAATCAAAATTATACTTATAAAAGAGGATGGTATTAATATTTGATGCTTTTAGCTTTTAAAATATAAAATATATTTATAAAATTGGGAAATAATAAGTAATACCTCTCAAATACTCAAAATTTAATTTAAAATCGAAGTTATATATGCATAATTTAATTAAGATAAATTAAATTATAGATCCTTTTGAAACTGGATTTTTTTTTTAATAGTCATAACTCACATTAAATTATCGTAGTTATTAAAAAAGTTATTTACATATCATTTAATTTTAACAATAAGAATGTGTATGCAATTTATATTATGTTGACACTAATAAGAACTTATACTAACAATTAATATGTTAACTATGAAAACAGAAAGGAAAACAGAACAACAAACAAAAAGTCTAAATATATTTATTTTTTACTTCATATAACATATATAACCATATTATTATTTATATACTTTTAGTATACTAAGATTAATGAACACGATTGACACATCATTTACCATTTTGAGAAAGATTTTATTAACAAGTGATAAAAGTTTGAGAAATTGTTATCATTTATAAATTTGTAATATTTTCGACTTATCTAAAGTACCTATTAATTTTTTGTTCATTCCACTAAGTCAAATTCAAATGTTATTGTAAGCCACATTTTATATGAAAGCTAACATATTAAAAATTTATTGAACATAATTTTAATTGTTGAATGAAAATCAAATCAAATAGGAGCATTTTTTTAATATAGTTTATAAAATTTAAAGTGTTTTTTTTTTAAAAAAAACTATAATTATAAATTGACTTTTCAATTAATAACAAATTTATAAAATGCAATTCACGTCGCGCAAAGCGCGAACAAGTTTACTAGTTAATATATATAAATAATTAATTAAAATCTCGCAAAATACAAATCCCAACTCCACCCCTATCATAATTAATTGGCAAGATGTAATAGACTTTCAATTTTAGACCTTGCTTATATTTATAATAAGAAGTATGAATAAAATTAAAGCCCATTATTAGTTCCTCAGTACCCCACGAAAATATCCAAATCATTATAGACAAATTTTGGACTTAAAATTAATGAATTTCTACAACAACTTCAAGTTCATGCAAATCAGTAATCAGATTTCTAGATCCTCATTAACCCATGCAAACTAATTTAAACCTAAAGAAAAGTCTCTAAATTTTATTTTCTTTAAAAACATAAGACTTAGGGTGTGTTTGGTATGAAGGAAAATGTTTCCTTGAAAAACAAGTGAATTTCTAATTTATTTTCTCATGTTTGGTTGGTGAGTAGAAAATATTTTCTGGAAAATATTATTTAATGTTTTGTTGGTGAATGAAAAATATCGTTTATTTTTGGCTTTAGACTAGAAAATACTCTTTAGGAAATAATTTATTGTTCAAAAATCAACCCCGATAATTGATCTAGTTACCGACTCTGACACCCGAACTAGGACAAGACCCCGATGATAAATTTGAAATATTTTCCAAAAATAATTTTTATATAAAAAAATTGACGGGGTGGCCTTGGGGGTGTGGGGTGGCGTAAAAAATGAAATTATTTAAATTTGAAATATTTTCCAAAAGTATTTTTAAAAATAAATAAATTTACGGGGGTGGCTTGGGTGAGGGTGGGATGGCCTTGGTGAGGGGGGGGTGGAGTAATTTTTTTTTTTTTTAAAATCTGAAATATTTTTCGGGGGTGGGGGGTGAGGGTATAGGGTGGAGTAAAACATGAAAATTTAAAATTTTGAAATATTTTTTCAAGACAATTTTTTTGTTGTGGGGGGGGGGGGGGGGGGGGGGGAGAGCAGGGGTGGTAGGAGAGTTGGGTGAGATAAAAAAAATCTTAAAATTTTGAAATATTTTTCAAAAATAATTTTTAAATTTTCTTATTTTTTTGGTTGGGGAAGGGTTGGCTGGTTTGGGGGTAGGGGTAAAAAATATTTGAAATTTAAAAAAATTATTATTTTTTGGATGGGGTCGGGTACGTGGTACGGGTTAGGGTAAGAAAAAAATATTGAAGGATGAGATAGAGTTTTGGAAAATGTTTTTCTTAATTTTTGAAGGGAAGTCATTTTCCTTAAATTTGAGGAAAATGAGTTGATTTGGAAAACATTTAAGGCAACAAAATATGGGGAAATTGAAAAACATTTTTTCCTTCATACCAAACACACCCTAAAGGTATTTCGAGTTAATTATCCTTTGAGAGATAATTTCATAGACAACCTCTCGTGGTTGAGTTCATAACACAAATTTTCCTTCTGATTTGTTATATTTATATTAATAACAATTAATCATATGATATGACTTGATGTTACATTGTGAAATTGATAACACTTTTCTTATCATTTATCAATATCGACTCTGAGGTGGAAAATCGCCTATCATAAAAATATATCATTCTTTTAAAATGGATTAATAGTATGAAAATAATAGTATTTGATAGTTCTCACAACTCGTAGGGTTTCATGTTTATCAGGAAAAAAAATACAATTTAAGATATTCAAATTGCATATCCAAACAAAAAACTTTGACTTCAAATCAATCTGATTTGAACTTATGATTCTATATTGCATATCCAAACGAGTCTTTAATGTCGTTTGATAATTACTATAGATCTATGTTTATAGATTGGTTAATCTGGAGGTCGATGTACGTTAGCGACTTGGTCATTTTGATGTGTTATATGAACTAATTTAAGTAAGTGATTCACCATAAATATGGATTGATTCAAATTAACACAAAAAATAGAGACAAATTTGAAATTGAAACTTTATGAGTACTTTAACGGTTAAGGTTCTTAGCATTGAGCTAATTGTATTTTTAAAGTTATGAATTCAGATATATCATTTGTTGCAATTTAAATAAATTAATATTTATAAAATTTGTTGATGCTTCTAAAGTATTAGGTTCAGATAAATCCGACTTCTCAACTATACTTTTGCCTCTAACAGAAATGTTTCACTTTAGGGTTAAAGAGTTCCCTATCAAAAACTTTATCTCAAATATTTTGAATTTAAAAACGTATAATTAAATATTGAAGGTACTTATCGATCACCTACCACAAAAAATGATGGCAATACTTCAAATATATGAAGTAGAAAACTAAAGCAATAAAGATTTTCTGAGCAATTAAAACCTATTTGGGAAAACTTTTAATTACCTATTTTAATTTCCAAACGTGTTTTTGAAAAGTTCTTTGAATGGTTATAGCAATTTGTGTTTAAGTAAGACTTAAGAAACACTTTTATTAGAATAGATAAGTAGTTTGTGTTTATTCAAATCCCCCACCCCCCAAAAAAAAGAGCTTAAGAAAAATAAATTACGTAAAAAAATATGTACAAATTTGCATTATAATAAATATAATAATAATTTTTAGTTATTTATTACTCTTACAGATTTTAATAAGTATTAAGATTATATTTAACAAAAACATTTCATTTTTTGTTTGAGATTTACTCCCATCACAAGATAAAAGATAAAATATGTGTTTATTAAAATATTTGTTTTTAATAATAATTAAACAATATATGCTTATTTTATATTTTAACTATAAAAAAAATTGTTTTATTTAGTGTACATCACAAATGCGGATAAGCATTGTGGTCCTATACTTTTTTTTTGTTTCCTCCGATGTTCGAAGCCCACATTGGAGCTCCAACTAAATGCGAATCGTGCATTGTAGGGCCCATTCGGGGGGTGGCGGTCCCAACAGAATTTTCTCCATATCCAATGCTCAAACCCGAGACCTCTGGTTAAGGGTGAAGCACTCCCACCAATGCACCACAACCAACGTTGGTGGTCTTATACTACGTTCCTTTCTTAAACGAATTAATTTTTAAGAAAATAAATCAAACGGAGGAAATATAATTAATTATGTGGCGTGACAATTGAGCAAGATAAGTGATAAGTGACCCTTTATCAATTTCTAATACATTGAATTCTTAGTATAAATATAACCCAATGTTGCTTCAATTTCTTCATCCTTCAATTAATATAATTAAGCTTTAAAGAAGAAGAAAAATGATGGGTTCCAAGGCTTTTCTATTTCTTGGCATTTTTTTGGCTATTTTTGCAATGATAAGCTCTGAAACCTGTAAGTTTATTATTCTTTTTTTTTTTTCCTTTTATTAGTTATCTCTTTGAAATATTGGCTTTCTTATATAATTATTTGACATTTATGAAATGTTATGCTAATTTATGAATTTCTCATTTGATATTTGTAGTAATGAAATCGGATGTCAAAAATGATGAACACCACGATGGATATAATGGCATTGGTGGATATTCTGGTGATGGACATGGTGAATATAATAGTGGATATAAGCCTCGAGGTGGTGGAAATAAACCTCCACACGAGGGATACAACCCTTCAAGTGGCGAATACAATTCTCCACATGACAAATATAAACCTCCGAGTGGCGAATACAAACCTCCGAGTGGTGAATATAAACCTCCTAGTAACGAGTATAAACCTCCAAGTGGCAAATATAACCCTCCACATGACAAATATAAACCTCCGAGTGGCGAATACAAACCTCCGAGTGGTGAATATAAACCTCCTAGTAACGAGTATAAACCTCCAAGTGGCAAATATAACCCTCCACATGAAATATAAACCTCCTAGTGACGAATACAAACCTCCAGGTGACAAATATAACCCCCCTAGTAATGAATACAAATCTCCAGGTGACAAGTATAACCCCCCACATGATAAATATAAACCTCCTAGTGATGAGTACAAACCTCCAAGTGACAAATATAAACCTCCTAGTGATGAATACAAACCTCAAAGTGATGAATATAACCCCCCACATGACAAATATAAACCCCCTAGTGACGAATACAAACCTCCAGGTGACAAACATAAACCCCCTAGTAACGAATACAAACCTCCAGGTGACAAGTATAACCCCCCACATGATAAATATAAACCTCCTAGTGATGAATACAAACCTCCAGGTGACAAATATAAACCCCCTAGTAACGAATACAAACCTCCAGGTGGCAAGTATAACCCCCCACATGACAAATATAAACCCCCTAGTGACGAATACAAACCTCCAGGTGACAAATATAAACCCCCTAGTAACGAATACAAACCTCCAGGTGGCAAGACCTTCAGGTGACAAATATAACCTTCCACATGACAAATATAAATCCCCTAGTGACGAATACAAATCTCCAGGTGATAAATATAACCCTCCACATGACAAATATAAACCTCCTAGTGACGAATACAAACCTTCAGGTGACAAATATAACCTTCCACATGACAAATATAAATCCCCTAGTGACGAATACAAATCTCCAGGTGATAAATATAACCCTCCACATGACAAATATAAACTCCCTAGTGATGAATACAAATCTCCAGGTGGCAAATATAACCCCCCACATGACAAATACAAACCCCCTAGTGATGAATACAAACCTCCAGGTGACAAGTATAACTCCCCACATGACAAATATAAATCCCCTAGTGACGAATACAAATCTCCAGGTGATAAATATAACCCTCCACATGACAAATATAAACTCCCTAGTGATGAATACAAATCTCCAGGTGGCAAATATAACCCCCCACATGACAAATATAACCCCCCTAATGACGAATACAAACCTCCAAGTGGTGGATACAACCCTCCAAATGGTGGCCATGAGTAAGTGACTAGCCAATTGCCTCACAACAAATCATCATGTTATATTATAAAACCCTTGTATGTAGTGGCAAGATGTATAATATAGTAATAGTCTTGCTACTCTAAACCTTGCTATAAAAATCGCATGAATAAAACGACATTCAGTTCATATATATGTATGGTTGTTCATATAATATTTTGTTGTACAATATAACACTATATTGTGATAATATATTTTCATAATGTACATTTCTTCTTTTTCTGAATTATATTGAATATATTGTTGTTGATGTCTTGATGATGCACACATGGTTTTTCTTATTTCACAACTTATTATTAAACTACTCCTCAATCACTAATTATTTATTGTTTTCACTTCTTGAGCTCTTTTAATTTTATTTTATTAAGTTGATTTTATCTAATTTGATTTTATAGATTAATTAAATTGACTTTCGAAAAAATGAAAAGCGAGACATATCTTTGAGACGAATTACAAGCTACTCTAAAATGAAAAGGCAAGAGATTATAAGTGCATCTTCATGATTTTCTAGTTTGTGTTGGAATTGTTGGTAAATGAAACTAAACTGATAAATGCCATTTGTCCAAATATTTTTTTACTGTTATAATGAAATATTATTACAAAAACATATACTAATATATATAACTAACATAAAAAGATAGTTTTCAAAAAACTATTGATTATTCATCTAAAATGTTTATAAATGATAAACTATTATAGCGAGAAGTTCTAATTTACCAACAATAAATTTTCAATGTGTCACTAACACCAAACAACATAATTTCACATGTATAACATGACACAACAACAACAACAACAAGACCCAATGGATTCTTCAATTCTTATTAGCCAATCACTTGTTAGGTTGTTCATTTCATTTGGAGTTATGTGAAGAAATTTCTTCACGTAACATCTAAATCTTACTATAAATAGACCCCAAGAATGTATTAGTTTCTTCATCCCTCAATTTTTAATTATCATAAGCACTAAGCTTTGAACAAACAAAAAGAAAAAGAATGGGTTCCAAGGCATTTCTATCTTCGCCTTTTTTGGCTATTTTTTTAATGATAAGTTCTCATGATATTGTTGTAGATATGGAGTTGGCTGAGACTTCCACCACTTTAGAAAAGGACTGTAAGGTTATTTGCTCTTTTTATTAATTTGTCTCATTGAAATATTACTAGAAATGACCATTCTACCTTTTTTTTTCTCCAAAAAATGACCGACGTAGCACGTCGACTTCTTCTTTGTCCTCCATGTTGCTTTTGCTTCTTAGAGGGTGTTTAGATTGATTTAAAAGTTGGTCAAATATATTTTTAAGTCAGTTTTTGACTTTTCTAAGTGTTTGGTAAATATAAAATAACTTGTCAAAAATTGACTTCAAATAAGTTAGGAAGTTTTTGGCAAGTAAAAAAATGACTTAACATAAGTTAAAAATGATTTAACATAAGTTAAAAATGACTTAAAATAAGTCAAAAATCAAAAGTAGGTCTCCCCTACTTTTTATTTTTTGATTTAAAAATCATTTCAATTTGACTTTTTATTTTTAACTTAAAAGCTATTTTTTTAAGTCAATCCAAATGGGGTCCTTATTTTGTTTCTACTTCCTCTTCCTCTTCTTCTTCTTCTTCTTCTTCTTCTTATTCTTTGTCCTTCATTTTAAAGAAAAAAATGACATACCATTAACGTGAATTATTTCAAGCGATCTATACATCAAAAGACTCGAAACATCGAGAAGATTCTATATATAAAATTTAAGACTGTTTCTAAGTGATTTTGAGTTGATCAATATTGAATAGTCAATGTATATTTCATATAGTTAAGATATATTCAACTTTTTGAGTGTATCATAATGTATAGCCAGTGTATAACTCATGTATATATAAGCTATATTGTTTAGTCAACATATACTTTCTACGTCTTTTGGGAAGATATATTGTAAAGTCAATGCATACTCAGATTTTTTGCAATCTTTTGTGTAAATGAAACATGACTATATTCTTTGCAAACTAATTATTTTATCATTTTATTGTATACATTTGGAGAAAATAGCCAAAAGTCCCTTCAACCTATGATTCAATTCTCAACTACACACTTATTCAATACGGGAGTCTTATTACCCTCTAAACTATTTAAATATGGAATAATCACCTCCCTAAAAAGTCATAATACACGCAATGAACAACTGTACATTCATTTTTTTAATTCTTTTTCTTCTTTTTTTCTTGTAAATTTTAAACCTAATAAAAATAATAATTTAATAATGCCCTGTAAAATTATATAAAGTTTCCATTTTTATCAAACCTGAAAATTAAAATTTACAAAAATTGCTTTCAAATAGAGATTGTTTTTCCAAAATACTAATTATTTCTTTAGAGAATAATAATAGAAAATGAGGAAAAAATCTCTACACCAAATAAAAGAAGAAGAACAACTCCATAGCTAGTCTACATAAACTTTCAATTTGAAATCAAACCTAAAAACAAAAATCCACAAATAAGTATTCACAAATGTGGGAGTGAAAAACAAATTTAGTAAGAATGAAATTAGAAAGTGAAATTTCAAATTCACCATTGTTGGTTTGACTTTTTTTTTCTTTTTTTTGTTGAAATTATGAGGGGCTTAAGAAAAAACTTAAACTCCATTTTTGAGTTTCATATATGAAAGTTTCTTATGAATTAGGTGACTGTTGTTGCTAAAAAAGGTTGATGTATGATTAACTAAGCATAAATCAGTAGCTACAAACTGATTTGGAGCTCCTAGAGATGAAGTTTAGAAGATCACCATCGAAGGACTTTGAGAAAAACGTGAAGAAATCATGAAATGGGTATAACAATTTTGTGATATAAGAAAAGGGGAAGAATTAAAAAAAAAACTAATTAATTATATAATCTCCAATGAGAGACTCCCACATGGACTATTTAATTCAATTTTAGTCATTTTATGTCTTTTTGTTGAACTCTTATGTGCCTACAAGAGGTGTATTCACCTTCTTAGATTGGTCAGCGTGTAAGTGTCACAAAATATCAAAAATAAAAAATTTAGGAGAGTAATAGGACCCCCATGAAGTATAAGTATGTAGTTGAGAATTGACTAATAGGTTGGGGGGGCATTTGGCTATTTTCTCTATACATAGGAAAAGTCACATAATATGACAAACATATGATGTGTATCTACAATATACAGTTATAATTTAAAATAATTACATTTTATAGCTATAGGTAGGATTTTATAACAAATTTATCTCTTCTCTTTCCCACTCTCCTCACATTGCCCCCCCCCCCCCTTCTCTCTCTCTTCGTCTCACCTCTCTCTCCATCCCAAACAACGTTCAACCCAAAAAATATTTCACATAATATGACATTTGTATTATTTACAAATATATTTATATTCTATATCAACTGTAATTGTATTATGTATCCACTATATTTGTATCTTTATCAATTTTATTATGAGAATTTAGATTATGTCAATTGTATTGATTGATACAAATTGTATTCATTAATACAATTATATTTGATATATGATACAAATCATTTGTATCAATAATAATTGTGATAAAATTAAATTTGATACAACGAATACAATGTGCATCCATCCTCTCTATCAAATGTATTATGTATCAATTATATTTCAACGAATATAGACAATTATTTTTGTTTGTATCGACAATATTTGTATTTTGTATCAATTGCATTTGTGATACAATTTAATACAATGAACAAAACATGTATTCATTCTCTCTCCTCCTTCTCCTAATATGTAGCTAAATACAATAGTTTTTGATACAGTTGTATTCATTGATACAAATCAGTTGTTACAATTGTATTAGTGATACAACCTGGCACAACAAATACTTCATGTATTCAACCTCGCTCTCTCCGATCTCGCTCACCTCTCTCCTCTCTTTCTTAGTCTCGCTCGCCTTTTTCCTCCCCAAACATGCAGCTATGATTCGTAATTAAGCAAGTTATAACTATAGATCTCTAATTAAGCCTAAACTATAGTCATCTTTGAAAGTTAGAGAACGTTACATAACGTGACAAACATATAATATGTATTTACAATATACAACTATAGTTTATAATAATTACAATTTATAGCTATAAGTATGATTTATAGCAAAATTCCCTCTCCTCTCACTGCCCTCCCTCCCTCTCTCTCACTCCATTCAAACAACGTTGTAACCCGAAAAATATTCCACATAATATGACATTTGTATTATGTATCAAATGTATTTATATTTCATATCAACTATATTTGTATTGTGTATCAATTTTATTATGAGAATTTGTATTCTGTTAATTGTATTCGTCGATACAAGTTGTTTTCATTATTACAATTATATTTGATATATGATACAAATCAATTGTAATATGATAAAACTTGATACAACAAATACAATATGCATTTATCCTCTCTGTCAAATGTATTTTGTATCAATTGTATTTCAACGAAAATAAACAAC